AAAAAATATTGGAAAATTCTTCCTGATAGCTTAAAAAAAATAAAGAAGAAAACAAGCCACTTGTGAATAGCTCTTGCCACAGTAATAAAGCCAATCAACCGTGAAAAAAAAAAAGATTCACTGCCATGTATCAATGCCAACTCATAGTAACCCTATAGGACCTGGTAGAACTGCCCCCTGTGAGTGAGTAGAAAGCCCATCTTGCTCCCAGGTCACCCCATAACTGACATGACAAGAAGAGCTTTGAGCAGAACGCATCCTTGGATCCCAGGGTCCCTGCACTGAGAACCTCCTAGACCAGTGGTTCTCAACCCTCCTCATGCCGCGACCCTTTAAGACAGTTCCTCATGTGGTGGTGACCCCTTATGTGGGTGAATCCGCATGTGGGCGGACCCGCCTAGAGATGGCTAGAGGAGCGAGGTGTCAGAAATACGGTCTTAGGAGACCCCTGTGAAAGGGTTGACCCCCAAAAGGGGTCGTGACCCCCAGGTTGAGAAACCGCTGTCCTAGACCCAAGGGAAGGTTGATGCCAAAGACCTTCCTTGAGAGAAAGCAGAGAGAGAGAGCCTAGGGCTCGCACCCTGGGTTTAGACTTCTAGCCTCCACTGTGAGAGAAGATGCTTCTGTTGGTTGGGTTGAAACCATCTACTTATGGTACTTTGTGGGGGGATAGGCCAGCCCCCCACAACTAATCGCGGGTTCAATAGGCACAATTGTACAGTTGAGACATGTAAATATTATAATAAAGTCACAGAGAGCATGAGGGATAAAAGAGAGAGAGAAATAATGGAGTCAGACACATTTCATGGTAGCACGCTCACCTCAGCCCCACTTGGTGGTCCACGTGGAGAGAGGGGGAGGGGAAGGAGGATAAGGGGAAAGGGAACAGGGGAGCAAGGAAGGGGGAGTCAATGATAGGCCAAGAGGGAAGCCCGAGAGAGCTCTTCATTGCTAACCCAGGCCTATATACCTTGGGGGAAGTGCAAGCCCACTAATTACAGGTAAAGACATAAGTCACAGGA